TTGAGTTTTAAACTATACAGCTTAGAAAATAAAACACTTTAAATCTATCAACTTTCAAGTGTTATTATACGATAGTATTAGTGTTAGTAATATTATACGACCTTGGATATGAAGAGCAGTTATTCAACTAATCTCATATTACCTCTTGAAAGGTAATATTAAATTATACTATATTGGTAAAGTTAATGAGTGTGTTTACATTTGTAGGTAACAATTACGACATTAAAACTATGGCTTTTGATGATAATTATTGAAGTCTAAGGTCAATCACATATAATAGTAATACATTTTATATCAGGAACTAAACCAGAATTTTTGGAGAGTCTCAAAATATTCCTCATCAAAATCTCTAGGAGTCAAGGAAACTCCAGAATATTTTCTATTCAATCAACATGGAATAGAAGTTTCTAAGGAATATCTAGGATAATCAAAGATTGCTTGCCACTTTTTTATTAGATGATTATCCATGCCGTTATTATACTTGGAATGTTTCTAGAAAGTTCTGTGGACTGAAGTCTCATAAAACTCCATAAATACACCCGATGTTTTGTACATAAACTAGCCTTGCATTACAGTATTTACTCATATTTCGCTCTTTTTTCCCTGGTGTTGGAGCTAAAGTATGGAAGTAATCTGGGGTTATATGAAGTGGCTAAAAAGTCAGTATACTTGAAAATAGTTAATTTCTATAGTTTACAAGTTGACTAAGTCACTGTTCAACATCAATGTCCTAAGATCTAGTGGTACATGTATTACGATTTCATAACAATGAATAACAATACTATTATTATTATTATTATTATTATTATTATTATTATTATTATTATTATTATTATTATTACTACTACTACTACTACTACTACTACTACTACTACTACTACTACTACTACTACTACTACTACTACTACTACTACTACTACTACTACTACTACTACTACTACTACTACTACTACTACTACTACTACTACTACTACTACTACTACTACTACTACTACTACTACTACTACTACTACTACTACTATTAATAATAATAATAATAATAATAATAATACAAAAAACAAGTTAAAGTTAAAAGAATATTACCTTACGATTGATTTTTCATAAGATTTTTAGGCTTATTTTGTGTCGATATTGTAGCTTTTCTTATAATTAGACACCGATTTTGGTGGAGTTTTGTTCTCTGAGCTGGATGGTTTGGTCGTGACCAAACCATCCAGCTCAGAGAACAAAACTCCACCAAAATCATCCACCTGAGCTACAAATCTTCTCCACCATCTCAATTAGTCACCGAGGAAGTATTACAATAATTTGAGAAAATCAGGTAACTATAAAGTACGATTTACAAATCGGATCATTCGAGAGACACTATTTAATTAAGGGTATTATTTTTGTCAATCAAAAGGTGTTGTATGTATATCTGATAGATACACATTTATTTTCTTTAAAATACTCTCATTAAGTCTAATGGGAATCCATGAGGTCTGATAAAAATGTGTACATTCCGATTCTAATACAAGATAGATTTTATCACAAACGAATTCACATGAATACCATGGAAAAGTTAAGATGAACCGGATAGCTGTTCTGTCTCACTTTCCGACTTCTCAGTAATTCCTATCAATTGGCCATAGTTTACGATAATTCTATCAGATTAAATCAGTTTAGGATAAAAACTATCTTCTAGTAAAGCATATCACTTCACTTGAAACTTTATTGTATTTCAACGAATATTCGAGGTCATTTTAAACACTGATCATCAAACTTCTGTTATAATACACAGTATAGAAAAGTTTTTACCTAAAACAACAATTTATTCTGAGTGCATCTTTAAAGTGAACTATCTCCTTTGTTTTCGATTTTGTTTCTAAATTAAAAATTAGACTGTAAGCTAGTGGTTGCCCTGATTTCTGGAAACCACTTCGTATTGATAAAATGTGGTGGATACTGGTTTAGTTTATATATGGATACATATAAGCAACAATACTGTTAATAGAATAAGTGACCTTGAGATAGTTAATTCCCTTCCCACCAGATTCATTTACTGATAGGTATTATGCTAAAACGTATTAGATAGTTCAATAAATAGACGGAATAAGTTCAGAAAAACTTTATTTGTCAAAATCTATCATACATATATCTCATCCCCTTTCAAATAATCTCCAGTTGAGGCACGACATTTAATATATCTCATGAAGTCCTCAAAAACCAGAGTCTTTAGCTTCTTCATTATTTCATCTTTTACTAGAATCCGGTGAACACACAGTACTTACAAATTCCGAAAACCGCCCGAATAATGGAATGATGATAAAAGAGGACAAATGATCGCATAAATTCGATGCTTTCATCAAGGGAGGTGGTTGATGTTATTCTTGACCTTTTAGAATCGTTTTAGTCTTCACTGCGGTCAATGAAGTATATAATACATGTGAAAAAGTTCCATCCAATGTGTTAGATACTAAAAGTATATGTTTATTTTTTGTGAACATCCTGATAGCTTTTTTCATCAGTTCCCACAAATTACATTGTGGCAAATTCAATCATTATTTCAGTATATATGATAATCTGGTAAATATTCACTATTTTAATACGTTTTAGGTTATAATCATTTAGATCCAATTAATAATCACATGAAAAGCGACTTAATGTAAGGAGTGGTATCCTACCATAAATATATTCTTCGCCATGCTTTTTTGTTTTCATAGTTTGAAGGTTTAGTCACAAATATTAGAAGAGATATTACTGAAGTGTAATTTAGGTTATAGTTACACAGAAAAGTCATGATCATGTTCCATTAAGTCTTCTGTGTCGTTATTCTAAACTTTTTAAGACATCTTACAACTAAGAACGAATAATACTGGTAACGACTAGGGTAATTTACAAATTCCAATTTGAACCATGACAAATCCTCTTCTGGTCACGTTATTAGCATTTATCTTTTTATCAGAAGGGGTTTATGGAGATTTTAGAAATTTCACAGATTGAAATTATGAGTCAATTGAAGCTAAACCACCATGGAAAACCTGAAAGCGCTGGATGGCCATTTCGTCCTAGTATATGGGACTCCTCAACAGTGCGCATCCACGACCCCGCACCCTGTGAGATTTGAACCGAGGACCTATCAGTCTCGCTCCAGGTGCTTAATCAACTAGATCACTGAGCCGGCTGGCATCCAGCGGTGTTATTGTCTAACTTCAACCAATCCACGAAGTTGCGCCACCGTACACCATGGTCTTCAGTGAGTTGATATCTCACAACTGACCTGGTTGAACTCCACTGGTAACGGCTTCTTGCTAGAACCGTCCAGTTCTTCCAGGTTTTCCATGATGGTCTAGCTTCAATTGACTCATGATTTCAATCTGTGAATTTATCTTTTTCCTTATAATAAATAAAACTAGAGGTTGTATGTGCATGTTTGGAAATTTTACAATCATTTGTAGTTATTTTTTGGCATAGAATGATCTACCCACCTATTTAGACTGTCATTAATTGTATTGAAATCATTATAAGATCATTATTAAAGTATGCATTTTAAACTGATCAAATTTACACATTTTAGTTACTATAAGGAATTGAAGTCAATTAAAGAATTAGTGAAAGAGAGCAATAGGTGATAGACTTATATTTCGTTCTAGTTTGGGACTATTTAGTATTTCAGACCTACAATGATCTTGACGTTACTTGACTAGTATGTTACTTTTTATTTAATCGCTAATATGGGATTTAGTGGTATATAATTGTAAATTTAGGTTTACTGATATTATTAGTAGAGTATATTAAGAACTGGAACACGGACTAATAAAATGTGAATGAACCAATCAGCGAAAATGAATCGTAAGATTCTACTGTGGTTTTGTTTTATAGATAACCAGATTTAAATAACAAAATCTATGACATCAATAATAACTTTAAAAAATGTAACCATTAAATGTGTAGGATGAACATTACAGACAAAAATAAGCACTCCAAGATTATTCTTTTATAATCAATAGTATGACTTGAAAAATATGTGAACTTTAAATGAATATCCTAATTAAATTTCAATTTGTCCTGCATAAATAGTGTTAGATACATATGATCTGTTTATCACAGGGTTAGATGTTGTTAGGTTCACTCTTCAGTTTCAAATATCTACACATCATTGGTGTACACTGTATTCGTTCTCACAGTATGAAAGTCCTGGATATAGTTGCACATGGTTTGAAAGGTATTCACAATGAAGTAGTTTATTATTTGAACATGGTAATTATTTACTACATTTATGAATAGCTCAATGTTAATGCCTGTGACTTGCGCTATATGATATGAATTCAGATTTTATGGGTAACATTATTTCTTTAAAGATTGTTAGTTGATAGGTAGAATTCTGTCAGTACTGTGATCTAAACGAGCCTGACAACGGCCATGACACAGTAATAAACCAATCAAAATATTTTATTTTATTTATTTATTTTAACAAATAGATATTGGTACAAAGAGGCACCAACTACATATGCCCTACACAAATCTCATTCGATATGTGTGAGGGCTGTGATACTGCCCGGGTTCTCAGCCTGAAGCAGGTGGTTATCTTAGGAGGCCACACTCCGAGTCTTTGACCTGAAGGTTTGATCCACAAGGCAGTGGAGCATCGTGAGGAGATATATTCCCATGGTAGCCAGTGACCAACGATTGGTTCATGCGCCATTTGTTCCTTTAGGATACTGGAGCCCATGTGCACCATTTGTTTGGGATCCCGTTAAAGCGCCGGACATTCGCTTTTCGTCCTCTCATTTTCGTAAACAACAGTAATGCCATGAGAAGGCAGTGAGTAGGACTTCGCTGGTAGAGGCTATATACGCGTGACCATGTGAGAGTATTTCGAGAGGGAGAGTGGACTCTCACCACTCTCGGCTATACCAGGGCATTTGGGGGCCAATCAAAATATAATGCATAAAAACAATACTAACCACAGTAATAATGTTAATAAAATAATAGCCATGTTGAAAAAGATTTTAACTAACTTCAACTTTTAACCTATTCAAATCATAACGTTTGATTAATCGACTGCTTGCCATTAAATTGGATACTGTATTCTCTAATATTATGAATATTGTACAATTCTTCATGATGATTTATAATTAATATACAAAATCTATGAATAATGAATTAATTTATATATACAGATTTGTTGATAAATGATTTAATTCGAATGGGTATAAATTTCCCTGAATTATTTCAAATGATTTATATACATACAATGTAAATACAACCAGTAATTTTATATTCAAATAAACAAAAAAAATTCTTCCCGGAAGTACAATTCCTTGATATACATGTATGTATAATAATAATTAGAGTAAATACTTGCATTGGTTAATTAGGATTATTACCATTATTATGTTACTTCAGGTCAATTATTCTATGTATGTATACATAATTATAATCGTTTCTATAGAGTATGAGAATTAATTAGGTTTACTAAATGGTGTAATTATATATCAATAATAATAATAATAATAATACAACAATGGGGGTTATATTATTATTGATTTCTGTCACACATTATGTAATCTAAGCGAAGAGAAGGAAAGAATGTATATTTTTAAAGAAATTATCCATTATACAAGTATATAAAAGCATTGAAAAAATTAATGCGGGATTATACACTCTAAATATACTAATTTAATATACTGAGTTGTAGTTGTATTCAAATTACATGTAGACTAATACATAATGAATGAACTTCATGTCACTTAGTGCTTACAAAGAAGAGTAGGACGAATATATAATCTGAAAACAGTATGTCTCCACACACACACACACACACATGGAGATATACACATGTTTAATTGAGTTATGAATAACCAGGGTTTCATTTGAAATTATAGAAAAGATATGTGAGATAGAGCGGTGATTTTTTATGAAGTTTTCTTTATATTAGACAGTTTATTCATAAAGCTTTAATTTTCATTCTAAACAAAGTCATCAAGTCAAAATCTTTAGTGTTAAAAAGATTAAAAAAGGAACGAATTGAGCGAAGAAATTTCTTTTCAATTAGTTTTTCATCATGGCTCTACACTAATAATATAATACTCATCGAGTAGATACGTTACGTAATAATTACATAATGACATTTAAATTAACATTCAGTAATTGGAAGAGAGAGGATTATTAATATTCAAAGTAGTCAAGAAGTTGCTATGTTGCGTAATATAAGAAACAAAGAAGGAACAGAATTTTAACGGATGGTCAATAGGATGGTAGTTACGTAAGAATCAAGAGATGAATGTTGAGAAGTTATTAAGTTCAAAAGCAACAGAAATAAAATTACAAAAGTTAAAAAAAAACAAATGGAAGAAGTATGAAAAATAGTTATTTTGAAGGAAATCTTAAACTGATGGCCAGGGCAGGGAAAGTGGTTGTACGAATCTCTTTTGGATGCAAAGGTCAGGTTTGTGAACATGGATTGCGATGGCTTCCGCAATGTGCAAAAGGCGCACTCGTAAACCATGTGGCAAATTAGATGGGATATTGTAGATAACCTTAAAAGTTTTATTCAATTCGACTTGATGACCTGTGCCAACCAAGTGGGAGAGAATAGAACTTTTAATCACTTTTACCTGTCCTTTGTTTAACCACGACGGATGATGTTCAGTAATGCGATGACGGACTTGCCGAACTGTACGCCCAATATAACTGGCTCAACAGGAGCAGTTGAAACGATAGATGCACATAGATTTGGCGAATTCAGGCAGTCTGTCTTTGTTGGCTGTTCTTATCTTGGGATAGTTGTAGAAGATTGCATTTAATCTGGCAGCATTAAATGTTTTTTGTACGGCTCTTCTTAGTTTCTGAGTCAAGATTTCTTCAATAGTGTCATTTAAGAATTGTAGTTTTATGAATAGTACCTTCTTATGAACGGTGGGTATCTTTGTCCTTGTTTTCTTCACCATCATATGTTTGTCGATGAATTTCATGGGATACCCATTCATGCTAAGTAGGTTCCGAATATTATTCAATTCTTCTTCGATAGTGTCTTCAGAGCAAATCATTCTAGCCCGATGTGTCAAGATTTTTATCAAGTTCCTTTTGTATCTGATTGGAACTGCACTATAGAAATGAGTGTATTGTCCTGCTGCAGATTTTCTGTGTACCCCTCTTTTTAAAGTTCCGTCTGCTCTTCTTTTTAGTTGGACATCTAGAAATGATATGCTGTCGTTCTGTTCATCTTCTGATGTAAAATTAATTGATGGATGAACGTTATTAAATGTATTAAGTAAATTTTCCTTATCATTTTCTTTTTCTAGTACTATGAAGGTATCGTCTATATAGCGATAATAAGTTGGTAAATGGCTAATTATGCTTTTAAGTGGCCCGTTTTCCAGTTTTGCAAGGAAAATATCAGCCAGTAGAGGGCCCAATGGTGATCCCATGGCAACTCCATCTAGCTGTCTATAGTATTCGTTGTCAAATCTGAATTGTGCATTCATTGTGCATCTAAGAATTAACTGTTTTATCGCGGATGCTGGAATCGGGGTTTCTATGCGTCTCTCTGTTAGTTCGTTGCAAATAAAATCAACTGTTTCTTGTAATGGAATGTTAGTGAATAAAGATGATACATCAAGTGATAACATGAAATTATTCTTGACTGATAGATTTTTTATGTTCTCAACAAATTCAAAGGAATCCTTGACACTATGCTTGACAATTTCTTCGTGTAATGGTTTAAGAATTTGCACCAACCATTTTGCTATAGTATGATACGCTGAGTTATTCATATCTAAAACTGGTCGAAGGGGTAAGCCACTTTTGTGTATTTTTGGTAGACCATATAGTCTTGGTGTCATCGTTCCTGTAGGTTTCAACATTTCGAACATCTTTTCTGAAATAAAACCTTGTTGTTTAATTTCTTTTAGTGAATCTGTTAATTGCTTTTCAATCTTATCTGCTATGTCGTTCTTCACAGCCAGTTTCTGAAATTTGCTTTTATCATTTAAAAGGGTTTTCATTTTGTTTATGTAGTCATTTTTATCCATGAGTACTATTCCATGTCCTTTGTCCGGCTTCATGATTAATAAATTGTCATTAGTTTTAAGTTTTCTTAAAGCTTCTGTATGTTTTTTCGTTAAAATCCCTTTCGTGTTGTGTCTATGACTTAAATATTTAAAACAACAGTCGACTAGTGTTGATTTAAATCTTTCGACATTATCTTTTGATGAAGTTACTAGTTCTGCCGTTTGAGCATAAAGATTTTCGAATTGAATCTCAACGTCCATTTTATTTACCGTTTTCTTGAAGTCACAAAACTTAGGGCCTAATGATAACGCTTCTAACGCAGTTTTATCCAGTATAACACTAGAGAAATTGTGTACGTACTGACCTGGATTGGATGGAAATTTCATTTCTGGGATCTGTTTGTCTAGATTTTTCTTAAGTTTCATTCTTTTCTTTTCCTTTCTTGAGTTAACAACCATCTCCACATAGTCCAGATACTGATCTCTTAATTTGTCAGGGAGATCATCTACAGCATAAATTCTCTCGTTGATATTTTTTACCATCTCAATGTATATATATATATATATATATATTAGTGTAGAGCCATGATGAAAAACTAATTGAAAAGAAATTTCTTCGCTCAATTCGTTCCTTTTTTATTTACCAAATGGCAAAATGGGTATTTTCACTATATTAAAAAGATTAGCAACAATAATGATGCAGCGGCTTAATCTGACATTTGGTAAATGATACGCGCGCGTGATTGGCTGGTATTTGCCTTTCTTTCTTAGGAAATAAATATGATACACGTTATTGGTGGAAAGATAGGTGTATATTTGAATGTTTAGTTATTTTTTGATTCACTTGGTCGATGGGATGTCCTTGTCACTCATGAATAGAATGTCTGTTTAATAGTATCGGAATCGGATATCTCACAACACAATAAATCACGAAGGAAAAGTGTGGATTGACAGAACAAATATTGACAATAATCATTTGAATTTATTGCCGATAGAATGAACTGGTTAGACATTCGGGACGAAATTTCGACAATTCATTTATGGTTGAGATCATGAATCAATTGAAACTAGATCACCATGGGATTAGTTTAACAAATATAGTATCTAAAATACTAGCCTCAATAATAATCAGACGCCTAACTAAGACTCGTGAACTGCAAACACGAGAAAACCAACCTGGCTTCAGACCTAGTCGTGGCTGCATCGACCACATATTCACCATTCGTCAGGTTCTAGAACACAGGCATACTTATCGACGTCCGACAATGGTGGTCTTTCTTGACTTAAAAGCAGCATTTGACTCGGTAGACCGCGAGATTCTGTGGCAGTGTCTGCCATTGAAAGGCGTACCCCAGAAGTACATAAACCTTGTAAAGGCTCTTTACTCGAACACTATTAGTCGAGTCAGGGCTTATGGCGAACTGTCATCTAGTTTTGCAACCTCAAGTGGTGTCCGTCAAGGCTGTCCACTTTCTCCATTTCTGTTTAACTTCATCATAGACCTACTGATAGAAATAACATTCTCGTCGACTGAATTCTCAGGCATTGACCTCCTTCCAGGAGGTTCACTTATCAACTTAGAATACGCAGATGACGTAGACCTGTTTGGTGAAGACGATGATAAAGTGCAGAGTCTTTTGGTAGTACTAAGCAACAATGCCAGAATGTTTGGAATGCGCTTCTCTCCCTCTAAATGCAAGTTGTTGCTTCAGGACTGGCCTGCGTCAACGCCTGAACTAATTATAAGGAGTGAAGTAGTCGAACGCGTCGACAACTTCACTTATCTTGGAAGTCTGATCAGTAAGCTACTAGTATTTGACCACAGATGCCTTATAAATATTGCTGGCGTCTGTTGGGATCACCGGGTAAGTAATAGTGAGGTTAGAATCAGGGTATTAGGTAATGATAGTGAATCAGTTGATGAGGTTGTTAATCTTAATCGACTGAGATGGTTGGGCCACGTGTTACGTATGCCTGAACACCGATTACCACGTCGTGCAATGCTAACGGGTGGAAATAACACTTATTTACTTAATTAAACGAACTAGTTCAAGAATTCTGAGTTAACCCATTCCAAACATTGAATTTTGGACGGATTGAAACTAATCAATGTTTAATTGATATTTATAGAGTGATATGTTGTCTTCATTTCCATATTTAGTTATGAATACATAAACCAAGGAAAAAATTGGGAAAATTTATATGAACAT